GGCTGGGCCGTTTTTAGATGTAGCTACCTTAGCCTCTGTTTCTCATGGCAAACTAACTGTCCTTGGATCCTTTCTAAGCCAACCAATTTCGTGATGAGTAAATTCCTCTCCGTAATTTAGAGTACTGAAGCAGATTACCAGTGTACCACACCTGGCTTGTGTTAAGCAAGGGCCTAAGCGTCAGGCTTATGTCTGGGAGAGAAGAGTCACTCATTAAAGTGAATTGAATACACACACACACACACACAGTAGGGAGCTCTATTGAGTTGGGTCACTGTGATCAATAAAGACACACCCTAAAATCAGAAGTAATATGTATAGTTTCTTTCCAATAAAAACATTTTAAAATAACTTGGGAAAGAGCATTCACTCTACACCTGTAAAATGAAAGGTAAGAAAATTACACCATCTTGAGCAGCTGTCACTGATACAGCTGTGAACACTGCCGTAGTCCTTCCTGGTCCCCAAGTCTGACCCCTTCATGCCTTAGTTCTACTTCTGCAAAACTGTGACTGATGTAATGTGGATTTTAGAGGAGATTACTGTAGACAGCCAGTATCACTATGGTGAAAGTAATAAAGATCATGGTAGCAGAAAACAAGGCATATGACAGAGCATGCTTCTTGTCATGGTGATAATTACCATTAATTACTTCAGTGTTTAGGAGGAGCCACACATATCTCATTTCCAGGACCCAGAGTTCATTACTATAAATCCTGTTGTCACAGTTGCTCACATAAAACACTGAGACCGTCTCTTGAGCCCTGTGATTAGTCAGGGTTGTAGACTCTCTATGCGTGAGATGGAAGGGTGGACTTTGAGAATGCCCGCTGTGTGTTGGTCATCTGCCTATAGTACTGATAATTTAGCACCACGCAAATACAGGGACACTAAGTAATCAAACTCAGTGAAAATGAGTATGACTTGCCTGTCACCAGATGTGAGCCCTGGGCCTTGTGCTCCACATCCGGTCACTGACTGGGCAGTCACTTGTTCTCTTTGTGCCATCAGATATTAGGATGTGACTACGATGGCACCTTCCCAATACTGGCTTGCCCTTTTGGTGTCCGCTGAGGGGAAGCTGTAAAAAAGCAGTTCGGTAATAGAAGCTTTTGGAATTTTCCTCGCAGAGTCATTTCCCTTTATAGGAAACGTATACAGTGTGCATGGAAATGGTGGAAACTAATGTACATCTACTTGGTCAGAGAATGAAAATGTGATTCATTCCATACCAAACCACCTGGAAATATTCTCTGCTGACCTTGTGCCCAATTCTAGAAAATGCCATCCCAAGAGTGACAGTGAAGCTTCTGGATTCAAGGTGACAGTAATGTTGGGATCTCTTAGTCTCATGAAGGTGGGGCCAGGTGCGGGTGGACTGAGAACTAAATGTTGGAAAGAACAATCATTGGTGTTCCTTGAACACTTAACAAGTGACCGGCATGGTACTAAACCAGTTAGGTATTTTCTTCGCCAAATTCGTATAACTACTTATCATTTTTTGTTTTGTTTAGAGACAAGATCTCCCTATCAGGCTGGTCTTATACTCATTATGCAGCCCATTCTGGACTCAAACTTATAGAAATCCTGCTGCCTCAGCCCCATGAGGGCTAGGATTACAAGTATGTACCACCATGCCCAGCTAACTTCCTGTAGGGTTAGCTCTTATCTCTGTTTTATAATGGACAGGTCACTGAGATGCAAAGGAGTAGGACTCAGCTGTTACGGGTCTCTCTGACCCTGATGGGCATTCCCTTATTCACATGTCACTTTGTCTCTCTGGAGTCTTTCAGGTGAGCCAGGTTCCTCTCTTTTCTCTGAGAGATCCTGCAGGTAAGATTTATAAACACCTACCCGCATGCCTCAGATTTGTTCCCCATGAACTTGAGCAGATTCTGATACAGCCCAAAAGCTGATGAATTCACTTGGCATAAATATGTACTTCTTGCATTTTCCGTATATGTATCAAGATAAGCAGAATAGTCATAAGACCAGAAGCAATATCCAGTCTTATAGTAGTGCAAGTCACTTAATGTTCCAATGACTCACTTCATCTATGAAGCCTGTCCAAAGGTCAGGAGTGGCCTAGTGCCCTCACTATGCACTTTTGCTCTTTTATAACTTTACGAATCTAAGATATATGAGGTTTTTCTCTGGACTTAGATTATGGGTCCATAATTACATTTTTGAAAATAATGTGACATAGCCAACAATCACTGAAAACATGTTACCCGAGCAAGCAGTGTATTTTTCCTCTTTTATTTACTGCTGTTTGAGTTACAGCTTCAGAGATTACTTTGGCAGTTGCTTCAGGTAATTTTCTCCATTAATAACTGCTAACAACAATCATTACATTTCTTTGATCTTTGGCCTCCCACTTGGGAGCCCAGCCTTTGTTACCTATTCCTCATACCAACTAGATTAATCTTGGTTTCTAGAATACATCTCACATTTTTTTTCGACTTTCCTGTAGTTTTACTCTTGTAATTTAGTGTCTGTGTTGGAAATGACTTTCCTACTTAACTCTGACCATGTCCACCACTTTCAAGGGCAATGCAAATATCCTGTCTTCCCTGAGGCTCTGCCAGATTGTTTCAGCTGAGATTTCATCTCTATGCTCCATAGGAATTTATTGTGCCTTTTAAAAACTCTTATTCTCCCTTGGGGCTGGGGATTTAGCTTAGTGGCATAAGCACCTGCCTTGCAAGCAGGCAGTCCTGAGTTCGATCCCCAGAACCGATAAAAAGAAAAAAAAAAAAAAAACTCTTATCCCCCTTTCATAGTCTTCTTTGTGCTGTTTGTGGTTCTCTCACAATTCTTTTTTTTTTTTTTTTCTCTCACAATTCTTATTTGGTTGTAAGAATCTTGAGGGAAGACCCAGCTACTTTGGCCCCGCATGTATTCTTTTGGAGAAAGAGTTCTTTTGCCCTCCCTTCCTCTCCTTTCCTTCTATTCTTCTTCCTTCTCCTGCCTTTTCCACCTCTCATTCCTCTTCCTCCTCCTGTTCTGCTTCCTATTCTTCTTTTTCTTAGTCTTCATCTTTGTTCTATTCTTTTGCCGTTCACCTCATAATGAAGACCTCACTGCTCCACATGACTTCATCAGCTTGCACTGTCGTCTTCCAACAGCTTTGCCTCCATATCCTATCCTCCTGGAGGGCTAAGGCTTCAACATAGGAACCTGAGGCACAGAATTCAATCTGCACAAGCACCTACACATTTATCAGTCTAACCTAAGGATGCAGCAATAAACTACATGGTCAAAAAACCCTGTTTCGTGCCATTTGCATTCATTTTAGTTAAGAATGTAAGCGTGTGTAGACAAAATAATGGCTTCCAAAGATTATGTAACATATCTCCATAACTGGGAGTAGGTTACATTACCTTGCAAAGGGAAACTGATTGCCAGTGGAATTAAGTTTGCCAGTCAGCTGACATTAACGTGGAGAAATCCGAACGGGCCCAGTGTAATTAGTAGAATCCTTATTAAGTGGAAGAGGAAGGAACAAAGATCATCAGAGTGATGCAACAAAAGGATTTGATCTTTCATCTCTGGCTTTGAGAAGGAGAACAAGGACTGGCAGGTGGCTTCTAGAAGCTGGTAAAGTTTTCCTGTAGACTTTGGGAAGGCATTCAGCTCTGCTGAAACCTTTATTTGAGCCCAGTTGAAGGTTGCATTGCACTTCTAACCTCCAGTAATATAGCAAATTTGTATTATTTTAAGCCATTAAGCTAATGGTATTTGTTCTGCAATCACAGAAAATGAATACAGCCCTTAATAAAGTAAGCAGTAGGTAGATGACAGTGCATTCTGTGGAGAATTTGGGGCAAGGAACATGGATGGGTGTGTAAGACCGGATGGTTATGCTGTTTGTTTGCTTTTTGAGACAGTGTCACAGTGTAACCCAGACTGGCCTTAAATCTTCCTGCCTCGACCTCTTCAGTGTTGCAGTGACAGAGTTGTGCTTTTATTCCCCTGCCTTTTTAAAAAAAATCGGTACCGCGATTGAACTCACGACTGCATGCTTGCAAGGCAGGTGCTTTTGCTGCTTTTAAACAGGACTGAAAGGGGAAGTCTCTAATTTGAGAAAAGAGCTGATGAAAATGAGGCAGTATCTTAGCCATGAAGTAGCTGAGCAATCAAGAAGACACGCAGGTAGGGAGCACAGCAAGTTTTGAGGCCTTGTGGTAGGTAGGAGTTTCTCTGTCATTTTTGGCAGCCAAAGAGGGCATCATGAATACACGCATTTGGATAGGAAAGCTGAGACATAATGTGTGGAAAATAGGTATTCCCAAGTTCTACTGAACGTATTTCCAAACCATAAAATGTGTGGTCAGAATTATAAAATACAATAGTCACTTGATATTCGTCAATCAGTATACACTGAGATGCTATCATAAGGAAAGATATGCAAAACCCAATTACCTTCCTTAGGAAAGCAGGGAGCCCACATGTGAAGACTCCTACCATGAACTGAGAGTGCTTTCTGTATTTAGTCCCTTCAGAATCACCCTGCGGGGTTGATAACTGCTTCCCTAGTTTATGCAGGAAGATGTGCTGCCTCAAAGTTGTAGGTAAGCCAACACTGGTCGGTGAAAGGTGGTAGGCTGCAGTCATGCTTCACAGATCATGGCCATTCCATGACCCCCAGCTTGTCCTAGGAACTTAAAGCATTTTTCAATGATTGATGCTCCGTTCTGTGTCAGTCAGTGCATGGCATTTTTCCAACAACCTGAAGATTTTAGAGAAAGTAATCCATTTGCCTTTCTCTAAGGGCCTTCGAGATGGCCTCTCTGGACCTAGAACGCATTCTTTCTCACCCGACATCTTTCCTGATGCCATGGCCCGAGGGTCAGCGTCTTTTCTGCAAGGTTGGGGGCCCCCTTTGCACATGTCCCTTGTCTCTCCCAGAGGGAAGATGATCTGAAAAGCCTCAGTCTCCTCTGCCACTCACAGTTGTTTTTGCACAGGCGGCCGCCAGGGGGCCCCTCCCCGCGCCCCCCGCGCGCTGGCCGAGCCGGGCGGGCTGCGCAGCGCTACGCGCTGGGTGCCTGTGGGGGCTGCTTAGCGGCGGCCGCTGCTGTAGCTGGAGCCCCGCACGTGGCCCCGCCAGCGCTGCCCTTCCTGCTGGGGCTTCCACAGCTCCTCTCGCGCGGCTGCCGCTGACCCGGCGCAGGGAGACGACGGGGCCCTGGGCTGAAGGTAAAACCTGTCCGCGAAGAATCCGCGCCGAGACAGGGGAAGGAAGGGCGCGATCGCGCAGCTCCTCGATCGCGACTGCTCCGGGGGGCAGAGGTGCCGGGCGCACCTGGGGCAGGTGCAGCGGGGGCGCGGGAGGTGGTGGACCCGCTCCCCGCCAGTCGCCCGCGGGCTTCCGGGGTGGGAGCCCGCCGAGCCCCGCGTCCGCTCCTTGGCTTATGGCCGGCTCCGGTGCGCACTTCCCGGGCAGGAAAGAGGGTCCACTTCCTCCCCGACAGGGATCCGGATTTTAAATGATACACCGAAAAACCCTCCTTTCCGGGTGTGCATGCGTTCCCAAAGTTCTCCCGAGTCCCGGACGCCTGCAGGTTGCACGTTGGGCTGTGGGTGGCGGGAAGACGAACTTTTACAGAGTGCGTCCGGGCGGGGGACCCCGCGCGGGCGGCCGCCTGGAGAGCGCGGACTGCGGAGGGGACTCCGCGCGCCTCCTGGGCTTCGTGGAGGGAGGGAAGAAGGAAAGGTACAAAGGAAGTATAAATCCCGCCGAACCCTTAGGCCGGGAACTGTCAAACTCTGGAATCCCAGCCCCTCACTTTCCCTGAGCCTGAGGTGAAGCCGCACCCCCACCCCAAGGGGCGGGTGGAGACAGCGGAGCCCCGGCGCCCCAAAGCCACTCTGCATTCCCTCCCGGCCCCCGTCTCTCTTCCCCGCGCCCCTTTCCCCTCTGCGATCGCGCGACGGGACTGGCTGGAATCTGGGCGAAGGGCCTTTTGTGTCTCCGCCTTTCCCCCATTGTTTGCTTTCCCAACATCTGGCGGGGCGCGGGGAGGAAGGGAGCCCCGCGCGTCCCCAGCCGGCGGCCGGGGGTAGGCAGTTCGGGCGGGGAAGTCGGAGCCGGGGGCCGCCCCGCCCGGCCTGCGGCGCGCGGCGGAGGGAGGAGAGCGATTCCCTCCCCGCTCCGCGGCCGCTGTGGCCCGGGGCTCGTGGCTCAGAGCGCGTCCCGGGCGCGCGGGGCGCCAATCCCGGAAGGGTGCTCGGCTCCGCCTCGGTCGAGGGTGTCGGGCGATTGGTTCTAAAGAATTTTTAGTCGCCAGCCAAAGGCTTTGCGGCTGGGCCGCAGCTAGCGCGGTGGGAAGAGGTCGGGGCAGCGTTGCTGGAAGGAAGCCACTGTCTGGGGTTTGCAAGTTCCCGAGGGCCAGAGGGCAGGCAGTGCTCCAGAAAAAGAAAGGAGGTGCGGACAGCCTAGGACCTGCCTGGAGACGGAGGTGCAGCGGAAGGACTGCACTCTGGAAAGAGTTTTGACTTCTGGCCAGCCTCCAAGTTTAAATTCTAAGCCTCTCTTAATATTGTAGAAAAAACAGACCAGGAACACGCGGTGCAGATAGGGCCAAAACTGTAAGTTTCCCCAAATCTGGAAACAGGTGGCCTGGCATGGCCCTGAGTTCCCCTGTGGGCCCACCCCAAGATTACAAGTGGCCCTGTTCTCCATGTGGATTCAGTACTAAGAGATTAACATTGATTCTTGGCAAGTGTGGATTATTAAGGAATTAGAGCAAAAACAAAACACCCATGCTGAGACAACAGCCCCTACCTACACGGGTTTGGGTTTCAGAGTCCAGAGTTGGGGGAGGCTTAACCTGTATCTCTGCATAGCCTTGCACTTGACTTGCTGTGACTAGGTTTTTCTATCGGTGCCCAGTCACTCTTCCATAGTTAATCAGTTACACTCCTTTTGTTCTCCCACCTTGGTTCATACAGCAGCTCAGGGAGGAGGACGCTTATGTGGTGGCGCCTGTAAACATGTACAGTTCAAACTTGAACCCCAGGCCTCTTGCATGCTGGGGAAGTGCTCTATGACTGAGCTACACCCCTAGTACTCATTCAAACCTTTTAAAGTAGAAACTATGCTGGGTTCTGCCCAGAACTCGTTTCCTTTTAACATACTTAACAGAATGTTTGAGCTTCTATTTAAAAAACAAACAAATGGTAGGGGGAGGGGAGGAGACTGCTAAGTCAGGAATATGGACACACAGAAAACTTTCTCCAGTGATTCCCGGGTATTTTTAACAGGACCACCCAAACAGAAATAGAAACAGAAACAAAACCTTCAGCGTACTGGAAGGTACTTTAGCAATCATTGCGTTATAAAAATGTTTCTTCAAAGGAGGATGCCTTTGAAATTTAGCAGCAGCAGCAAAGCAACCAAAAAGACCTGCTCAAACAGAACTGCTTTGGGTTTTGCTTGTGAACTCGAAATGGCATCATAAACAAAGTGAGAGGACAGTGCTTGTCCTCATCCACCCAAGTCAGGAAACAGATAAATCTGTATAATTTCTTTAATTTTAGAATTTGAAAAAATTCCTCAAAATTTATTGTAGAAAAAATAGAAAATAGAGAGATGAAAACTAAAAAGGGAGGCCAGGGATTTAGCTCAACAGCGTGAGTGCTTGCTTGGCAAGTATGATGCTGTGAGTTTGATCCCTGGTAGCAAAAAACAAAAACGACAAAAAAGAGAAAGAAAAGATAATATTGTAAACAAGGCTCAGTGAATGATCTTATCCAAATTTTTCAGAATAAACGGCCCCCACATGAGGGCCATCAGAAGCTATGATGGCATTGGTACAATTACTAGAATTTTTTTTAAAAAACTAAACAAAAAAGGATAAAAATGATACAGAATTTTTAAAACAGACAATCAACACTAGTTAATATATTGCGTTTCGCTAGCTTAAGATTGCCATTGCCTTGCCATTTGCCACGCTAGTAAATACGTACTAGTTCATCTTCTCCCCAGAGTGCACAAGGTGCTCTGTTTCTGATTCCCCACTCGTGCTCTAGATTATCATTGTTTTCCATCTCTGCCATGTTGATGAGAGGGGGATATCTTATGCTGCCTTATTTTGCATTTCTAATAAAAAGGATTAACTATCATTCATATTATGTTAAAATTTCTTACTTTGTGAAGTTGTCAATTTATGTACTCTTTTATTTTTCAATGGAGTGATTCTTTTTCTTTTGATCAAATTTGCCCTTTTAAAGTATACTGTCCTGGCTTCTGCCCCTGCTGGAACAGATAGTTCGTATTGACTGGAAGGATTCTCTGTCTCTGTCTCTTTCTCTCCTCTCTCTCTCTCTGTCTCCTATCTTTGTCTGTCTGTCTCTCTCTCTCTCTCTGCTGCAGCTAGAGTCCAGGCCCTTACACATTCTAGGCATGTACTGTACCACCACACTACAAACCCAACTGCTTTGGCCGTTCATCCTTCATGCATAGCAAACACTTGGCAAGAGTGCATCGTAAATTTCTAAAGTATCATCCCAGTAGAGATATTGGAGAGGCCAGGCAATACCAAATGTATATTTTTTGCTTAGTAGCTTGTATGCCCCACCTCCTTAACTTGTGGTGCTCCCCCCAGCACAATCTAGAACAACTCTATTGACAAGTTGCTTTTTACTAAATACATTATTATTGATGGATCCTCTGCTAATAACCCAGTCCTTAACTTACTCTTTTAAACATTTCTTCTAACATTTTGACTAAAAGTTGCTTCACTTTTATTATAAGACTCTCTGGCAAATTGTTTTGAGCCTTATGTGTGGAACAATCTTGAATCTCAACAGTTTCGCAGTAGTATTAGCAGGAGAGGTCCTCCCAAGGGCTGAGCCAGGTACAGTGGATCCTCTTTTGTGCATTTGTGTACTCCTGGTCAGTGTGTTAATTCTTGCTTGAAAGTAGATGATCCTGAAATGAAACAGAAGAGAGAGTAAACGGAATAATGCATTGAGCTAAGTGATGAATTGAAATGGACCAAAGATCATACAAAACAAGTTAAGTTAGGCAGGCTGTGGTGGTGCATGTCTATAATCCCAGCATTCTGGGAATCTCAGGCAGGAGGAGACAAGTTCATTCCTAGCCTGGGCAGCTTAGCAACTTAATTGGATGGTGCCTCAGAATAAAGGGGGTGGGGGTGGTGGGCTGTAGATACAGCTTTGTGAAGAACCTAGATTCAGTCCCTAGTATCACAGAAAAGTAAAAATAAGTCAATAAATGTTAAGTAAGAGAAAAGATATTACAATATCACAAATTAGAATGATTAGTTTACTCAACGGACCCAAAGTAGTTTTCTCACTGGGAAAATCTAATGTTAAAATCTTCTGTAACATGACTACAGGCATTCATTTTAAGGGTGGGGGGAGAGAAAGAGAGAGAAAGAAGAGAAGAGCTGTACTCTGTCTAGCACTTTCCATGACTTTAGATGTAGGAATCAAACAAAGTATACCAGGCATGATAAGCACAAGAGGTCTGCTTTAGAATCACAGGCTCCCAGGAGTCAAATGAGAGCTTAATTATCATCTAATTCAGCCATCCATGCAAATTTCCACTTTCCACGCAAAGTAGAGCTTCACTTGGGGTGGGGGGCTGGGCCTTGAACCCAGAGAGCACTGAGCTACATCCCCAGCTCAGCAGGGTCTCCTTAAGTTGAATTTTCGATCCTCTGCCTCAGGCTTCTCAGAAGCTACTATTACAGGCATGCATCTTCAAGCCTGGCTGGATCTTCATTCTTGAAGTAATGACATGCCATTCTTCAAACTGCGTTATTTCAGATAAAACAAGCTGACAAGCACATGGATAAGGATGGCAGCTTTTTCTATCTGAGCAAGAGATAGGGAATGGAAAGGTTCTGACTCTGCAGAGATTATATAATAAGCTCTTTGAATGTGCTGAACTTTTATATATTACTAAAGAGTCTTGGTAGTTAAGGAGTTAGTCTTGAAATGTTACATTTTGCAACATTCTCTGGTCCTGTCTTCTAGCCATTGTCTGGTGACCTTCAAAAATAGAGCAAAACCAATACAAATGTCTAAAGCAAAACCAATACAAAATGTCTAAAGTAGGTGGTGGATAGAAGATCTTACTCCTTTCAACCTGTCTTTAAGACTTTCTGACAAGAGTCATGGGTCCCCCAGGCTGAAGTTCCTCACCTTAGAGAGTTGAATCTGGCTGA